AATCTTGCATGTGCACTCTTATCGTAGTGAGGTCTTCATGGCAATTTAGTTAATCCCGTTGAAATGCTCGTAACGGCTTGAAAGAAGACGAAATTTGGTTGATAATACGGTGGGCGTATCACTTCTTAAATGTTAATTCAAACAACTCTTTTAGTACGCCAGCGCGAGCCATTAGTACCAGCATTGACATTTGATTTAGAAGGGTTCCTTATTGTTCTTTATTGGAGTATATTACTGCTCCCAGTGGGATACGGCGTGCAAATAGGAAAGCTTCTAGATACGTTGGATGCTTAACAACATTAAACCTTTTGTTGTTTAACATTACGGGCCATTGTCCGCGCACAAAGGGCTTGATAAGCTGAAGGGCTGATTGAATTGCATAATCCGCTCGATGAATAGCAAGCGGAGCTCTATTATGTCCTATCATTTACATATGACAGTAAAAGCAATTAGGAGCGTAACAAGTGGTAGTTAGTTGTAATAGAACGGCTTGATATTGTGTCCGATATTTTGTCTAATTCTCAGTCTGTTTGTATAGTCATTGTTTAGAAGCAAACCCCCCGAGCTGGGGCTTTTATCTCCTGGTAGCATAGCACGCCCAAAAAACATTCGCCCATTGTCAGCAACTGAGTGAAGTGAACGGCTCACAAGCTAATCACAAACGTTATCTGAAACGATTACTCTTACGGCTGCCGTTCAGAGCTCTTGAGAGTGAAATAGATCTCATAACGCAAGGTAAGAAAGCGTGATCGCGTTAGGTGCCGATGGGTTTTTGTATATTTGATTCTACTATGGCACGTACGCGCCGAAAGAAAACTGAACCGCGTGGTTGCTTGATCCGTTTTGAGTACAAACAAAGACTTTGATGAACCAGTTGGCCAAACATAAGGCGATTAGGTCAAGTAACTGGACGTACTTTTTCGATGCGCACGGGTCGTAGTGTAGCGTAAACGATCTTGCTTCCAATCAAAACACACGGTGGATTACAGAGAAAACTTCACACCTTTGGTTTTTTTGAAGCATGATAGAATGAAATTACAGTGCTAAGTGAAATCGGAAGTCGATTAACTGAAAAGTATGTAAACAGGGGAGATTTAGAGTCCATGAACAAACAACCGAACCACATTTCCTTACAAGATGGCGAAGGAATCACATGCTCGATAGATATTTTAACAGATGACGCAAAGTTTTGCGTAGGGAAACGCTCAAAGTTGTGCTGATGAATTTAAGATTTTTGCGAACACTTTTGGACAAAGGTTCTCCGCCCCCGGCTGATTCTTGCTTTATTCTACAATCGATAATTTTTGTTATGGACGTTACAGCGTATTTGTGATTTCTTGCCGCGTTTTTTACGCCGGTCGAGTGTAGTTACGAAAACAGACTATTGGCGGTTAAGCGCCTGGTCGAGGGTCTTGATTCAAATGTAGTCATATCGCTAGGTTCACCTTGTTCAATATAATGCACTTTTCTCACTGGATTGTTCATAAATTACGTTTGTTATTTCCGATTTATTTTGGAGAGGATTTTCAAAAATTATGTTACCTGTGATCTCATCCTTAAAACTAGCAATTACTGTATTTCGGTTTTTATCGCCTCGTCTCCTTAGTTTCAAGAAATATCGGTGTGGCATGCTTGTCGAGATTTGTCCTTCGCGTTAAAACATTATTTGAGATTTTCACGTTTACCGCTCAACTTACTTCGACTGAATATCCTTCGTTGGCGCGAAACAAGATCTTTTTCATGTGCTACATCATCTTTTAATTTGAACATTAACTAATTGACTTTTGGCCTCAAATTTTCTCCTTCCGAGGCCAAACTGTAATTCAAAAACATTACCATGAATGATTTATGACAGAGGACACAAACACAATAGCATGCATTTTGAAAATTTGCTTATTAGTTGACGTTGTACTAAGTGCTTTTTTCTGTACACCGTTTGTTCATTCAATTTGCTCCGAGTTTAGTTTTTTCCGTCGATTGACTGTTTGAGTTTTGTCGTCTCTCTGTGTTCTTTAATTACTTTGCGCTGCTAAGTGAAGGCGAGTTGCCAGATGAAGACGCAATGTTTTATCAACTAAATCGTAGGAATTTTGATGAGCTCACCGAATGTACCCTCAGTTTATATGGGATTACAATTGAAAGAAAGTAAGGTTGTGATTTATTTAAATCATTTAAGTTTCACATTTGGTGTTCTAAGAAAAAAAATACAGATTTTAATGAGAAGGAGAACGTATTTTATTTTAACGCCAATACAATAGCTACTACTACGAGGTTAAATTGGTTTTTTTTACCTGTTGTGATCATTTCTTGCCACCAGCTTAAAATCAATTTCAAGCGAATTCTGGTTAATTTCCCTCAACAGTTCGATTTTGGATAAAAAGCCTTGCTTATTCTTGCTGCGATTGATAGTGTGTCATTTTTTTCCTTTCGTTTGAGATGCCTGAGTGCTTTTATCTGGAGTTTTGAGTCAATATTTTCTACATGGTTTCAGTATCTAAAGCAGTATTGTGCCCGCTCAGAACACGCTTCTTCACTTGGTATTTCTAATTTCAACTTCGATAACAAATGTACTACGTAAGTTTCATCCGCGAGTCAGCCCAGCCAATCTTAATACTCCTTCTAAAGGAAAAAGGTCCGTAGTTGTATTTGCAGTCCTTAAGATCGATAAATTCAATTCAGTAGAAAAAAATTGTCAGTATGGTTGTACCGGGAAGTCAAACATCCAATCGAATATCATAAAAAGCCAAGAAGTATCTTCATAAAACAGAGTCGCCTTTTAATGGACTAGATTGAGTTGGCATGCTAGTATGGCGCTAGTGTGGGTTCGCTGTCGTAATTAATTACTTTTCATTTGCAGATGACACATTTGGCAAATCATTAGGGACAATAATAAGGTGTTTATACTTCTGAATCTGCTGTCCGGTAAACCTAAGACTCTCCGCTATTTAAGTGACATTACTGCGACCCTGAATAGCTAAGTGATTATCTGTTGTTGAGCCAAGCGTACTTTCCGCGGCTAGTTTCATTTCAGATTGTTTACATTGACATAAAATGGTTGTTTTGACAATCTAGGGAGGTTACGTAGCGAGTAGTAAAAAGCACTGCGGGTTGCTAAACAGCTGAACAAGGGCCAATATTTCTTTCTCATCGTGCAAACAATAAACTGCTTATATTTGCTATTTTCTACCTATATCGGGTAAGGCGAAAGCGTTTTTTCTCTGACGTAGCTACTACACGATTTTATAGAGTGATAAGAGTGATAGAGACAAAGGAATTTTTGACGCTACAAGTGAAACTGTGGTACCGCACCAACAGAACTAATCAATGTCGATGTAAAGAGCGCTAGTTCGCTAATGAGCTTTCGCTTTCTTGTTTTATTTCTTTGCGTAAATATATCAGAAAGTTAAACTTCGAAAATAAACACAGTGATGATAACATGTTCAGCCACGTCTGATAAATAGAAACGGAACTTGTCTCGCCAACTGCGAAGTGATGTAAGTCTCATATATTTACTTTGTGTATTTTTCAGTTTCTTTAGGCAATTTACTTTTAATTCCTTATTTGCTGTGATGTATTTTTAATGTCTAGCCCTTCGCAGCTGCTCTCTTGCCCTCGGCGAATCCCGACGAATGCCAGGCTTTTGATTTCTCTCAGCGAGCCCAGCACGTTGCCAATTGACTAAATCACGAACTTGATTTTAGGGCGCAGCTTAATTTTATGTTAATCGGGCAAATGACACATTTCTCTTCTTCTTCTTTTTTTTTTTTTAAGCATTCATCTATCGGAACTATCATTAAACGTGGGCATCTTAACCTGCTGTTCTCAATCATGAGGATACCATCTCATTCAAAGATTATATTCATAACGGTGTATAAGCATGACTTAAAGATAAGCTTCGATATCAATACTATATATTTTTTCACACGAAAATAATTACTGGATCCAACTAGACGCCAGATTTAGTCATTATGTCTTTGCTGATTGAGAAATGCCATGTTTTTGAAGCTGTACAAAGTCACCGAAAGAAAGAAAAAAAATAAGTTTTCATAACAATCGTTCATTGTCGCGCCAGGGTCTCACGTTTTATACATAACCTTATTTTCTCGATGTGTGTGTGCTGGGGAAAAAGCAATTAGGACTCACTCAATTAGTAAGAACATGGCTCGCGGGAAAACAGAAAGACATTTAGAGCCGAAATACCGTCCAGGCACAGCGTGCAGATCACGAATTAAAGCTAAATCGACTTGTCCGGAAAGACAAGGAATAATGGGAAATTCATATGTGGAGGCGTGCCATTTTACGTATTGTTCGCACGATCTTGGGCTATAATCCATCGAACTCAATACGCTAGATAAACGATCATGTCACTCAGGGCTCATGGCGTTTAAATTTCAATCGGAGACAACCTTGCATGCCTCTTACATTGTTTAACTTTTGATTATATCAACTATTGAAGGTGATGAGTATTGTTATTTTTTGTCGCGCTGAGGAAATATTCTGGTGTTATCTGCTTGGGAATCTCTGTTCGTCTAACGGTGTGGGATAAATCGCATTGAAGACATCCCCCGGTAAAGCTTTTATACGGCGATATGTGATTTTCTGCCTTGCATCTGTCAGTGAAAACGATAACGGGAGCATTCAAAGAAAGATCGATCGAGAGCTGCGTTCTTAGCGCCCACTTCAAATAATTTTTGGCGGTGCATATTCATAAGTTTGGCTTCGAGGGAAGATTTCTTCGTGGTTGTTTTCACACTTTGAGCTGTAAAACCTGAAGTGCCGTTACGCGATATCTATATTTTCTGTCCCATCTGCCCTGAACATTTGTTTAGACTGAGTTAATAACACCTTGCAGAGGTGATTGACACCGTTGCCATAACAGCCTTGTAATTAGAGCTTTGCACGCCAATCAGGTCGCAAGAGTTTAACAAACGTAATACTCGATCTTAGCGATAATATACCCCATGTTTCTAACCCTCTTGATAAATACTGACACTTTGCAGAGACGTTACCACACCCCTGCATTTAGCCTTAATAGTCGGAGACCAAGTAGGAGAATCCGTAAGCAGTCAGCGTGATGTTTGCCCCGCTTCCAGCCCTGAGCTTCACGCCTCAACAGATCGCACAAGTATGCGAAACTCTGGAAGAAAGCGGTGACATCGAGCGGTTGGCCAGATTTTTGTGGTCCTTGCCAGTGGCCCCCGGAACGTTAGAAGCCTTGAGTAAACACGAAAGCGTGCTCCGAGCGCGGTCCATAGTGGCATTTCACATGGGTAATTTCCGTGACTTATACCACATATTGGAAACTCATCGCTTCGGCAAGGATTCGCATGCCAAATTGCAAGCGATGTGGCTAGAAGCTCATTATCAAGAGGCTGAGAGGCTTCGAGGGAGACCGTTAGGACCTGTCGACAAGTACCGCGTTCGCAAGAAGTTTCCTCTTCCTAGGACAATTTGGGACGGAGAGCAGAAAACGCATTGTTTCAAGGAAAGGACAAGAAGCTTGCTTCGTGAGTGGTATCTTCAGGATCCTTACCCGAATCCAACGAAGAAGCGCGAACTAGCGCAAGCAACCGGTCTCACACCGACACAAGTTGGCAACTGGTTTAAAAACAGAAGGCAAAGAGATCGAGCCGCAGCAGCTAAAAACAGGTATTGAAATTTTATTCTTAAACTTTGCGAAGATGTCGCTCAACAGATTTTCTTGTGTGCGGTGTCTGCGACCTGTGTCGTTTGTTGATTTTTCCGTAGTACGCAAACATAAACTCGAAAATCCTCTCAACGAGAATTCTCTTTTCGCCACCAAAAGCTCAAATCGCGGCTCAGCTCAGCTCGTTTGATACGGAAGCGGGCAATAGGGATAAAATTGAATGGTGTAAAATGCATCCGTTGCTAATATTTATTAGGGATTCCCGGCTAGTTCTGTGACACAGAAAGCTCCACACTTTATTTAAATTGGTTTAGGCGGTTTACAGCGAAACAGATGGGCTAGAACGACGTTTAATCCTGAAACTTACACCACATGGATAAGACCATTGATAGTCAGTCTCGGTGTCAGTGTGTATATCTTATTGAGGCATGTGGTCAGAAGATCGGAACAGCTATCGCTATTTGTTTCAAAGAATCGCATTTGTTTTCTTTTATTCCAAAGCCTACTTCTTTAAACGGGAGTTAGTATCCATCGCTTTGTTCTCAGTAGACTTGGCGCCAGAAAAATGTGTGTATAATAACGCGAGTATATCAGTCATAAATTGTACACATGGTTTTCATCCATATCATCACCGTGCTATATACACTCGTCTATTGAAGGAAATTGATTGAGATACCGTTTCCCCTGAGATCTTCCGGAATTGTGTAGCATCTCTTAAATTCCACTCTACTGTCATTTGTTTTCGCAAGGAATATTTGATAATTTTCTTAGGTACTTAGCAAGGATTATGAGCTGTATTTAGTTATTTGTTTACCGTATTTTCATCTAATAACTATTTTGGGGCATTAGGACAGCAAATGGATTGGATTTTCTCTTCCATTCACGCGCGGGCACATTGCTCGTGGCTCGTCAAAAATTGTAATTCTATCTTTCTGAAATTGTTTTTAATCGTCCACGACGAAAGATGCAAGAAAGTTCTTAAAAGGGAATCAAGAAGAATAAGGAAAGAAAATGAGAAGAGTCTAGAAATAAGAGAAAGGTGAAAGGGAGAAGGTAATCTATTTAGCGTTCAAACAGTGATATTATGTGTGAAGTGGGAGGCTCTCACACTTTGATCAACTTTTACAACGTGAAAAGGCGATAACAAGGTTTCGCATTTAGCAAGCAAACTTAAAGCTAAATGACGTGAAAGCTTAAAATATTAATTAAACTCATTTGCCCGAAGTAGACGGGGCGGATTGTGCGGTATTTAAAACGTTGCCTTCTAAATCCTAATATTATCTGTAAACAGAAAGCGAGAATAGAAAAACATTACTTCCTATTTCTAGACATTCCATAACATTTTGAAGGATAATGTTTTTTTTTTCTGTTCTTTTTGTAAGATTTGGCCCCGAATGGAAACGTTTCGTTTTTTACCGGTTTGCCTTTGTGGGTTCACCATGCGAATAAATTTAAATGAATTTAATGTTACAGTAATCTCCAAATCGTATGGTAGAACTACTTTGAGAACTAATGAAGTATTCATTTGAACGTTTTATTGATACGAGAATCGAAAATTCTTCCCCTCCCTGCAGATCAGTGTCTATCAAGGTGTATTACAGCAGCACTCATGTTTACAAACTGGTCGCTGTTTTCTCTTTTATTTACAACTTGCTAGTTTGGTGGCAAACCAGCGTCTTAACACTTTCATAAGCACAATGTAAATCCGGTGGGAAGCCATGTTGGCAGTTGGTTTTTAACAAATAGATCATCTGGTTATTTTCCACGGAAGCGTGCTGTTCTTGTCTTGTGTTATGAAAATCGCGAAATCTTTGTTGAACGCAAATTAAAATCATTCACACCTAGTTTAGGAGTTCCGAATTGGCAAATTGAGTGCCTGAACAGTGATAAGTATCATTAAAGCCATTAGGCCTTTGAGGCCCAAGTTTGAAAACTTAACAAGTGAAAAGTGTGCCGAGATAATGGCCTCAGCTCAGTTGATTGACAAAACTTGGCCATAATTACTACTTGCTAAGCTGGATGTTCCAATGCAGGGTGCAACTCTACAGTATAGCTTCAGAGTACTTCGATCTTAGAGTTAGAATTATACCACCTAGACTTTTTAAAATATTTTTTTCCCAGCGTTTTCTCATGTTTGCAGATTTGTTGTGAAACTGTTCCCCAATACCAAAAAGAAAGACATCAATCTGCTTTTTTCTCTGAGGCGGAGATTCAACAATCTTGCTTTTCCTAAATTCACTTTATCGAAAATGACTGATTATGGTAAACAAAAAGCCGATTTCTGTTCCACCCGATAGTGTGATTGCTAGTATAACATAAAATATCTGTAATGTCAGTGGACTCTCCTTTCACAATTTCATTCTGCTATCCGAACGGAATTTTATTTATTGTAACAATAAGAATAATTTTGCGTTGTTTTGGAAACCTGCACTTCTTGCGAACACTGTTTTCTCGACGCGAGTTCCTTTGTTCATTAGTGGCTTTATGAAATCGGTTGTGGTTATTTATTAACGAAGTGATTCTTTGAAAAAAAAAGAATACCGTTTCAATCAGGTTGTTCTATCGCTTGATTAAAGTTCCGCAAAGGATAGCTTTTCTGAAAGTGTGTCGGTGTCTTTCTTTTTTGACACCGTCTGCTTTCGATCTAACTAAAATTTCATCTGGTCCGCTCTTTGGTTTCTTCTCCTGATTGTAGAAATTCAAAATTCAAGATTATGAGGCCGTATACGGAGTTACTTGTCGCCAACTTTTTCTCTCGTTCATAAGAAAAGTAACTTTTATTTAGCTTGGCGTGAGAAAAATTTCTTTTGTTTTACCCCATCCGCGTTGTGAAAACCTGCAAGCCACCAGTGAAGTGCAATCAAACTGTGATGAATTATTTTTATTGCTTACCACATGTCTCGTTTTGCTTTCCAAACAACTGGAACGCCTGGAAAAGTCCGCTAATCGAGCAACTGAGCAAGATGCGTTTGTTTCTTTTGGATTTAAGAGCCTATTCAAACGGGCAACAGCCAAATCACAGATGTATACTGCCTGCAGCGATCCTACAATAATTCGAATTATCCTTTGATTTCTTTCAATTTTCTTCGCAGTGAAAGCAATCTAATCCTTTTGGTTTTTTCGATAATCGTTAACGATTTATTTTATTATTTTCCTCCGCAGAATGAACCAACAACAGGGTCAACACATCTCACAATGCAAAGGCAGTTTTTCCCCTGAGGGAAAAGCGATGGAAGACTTTCGCGGGCTAAAAAATTCACCGATTTCAAAATCAACAGACGATCTACGCAAAGGCGAGTGATCCTCAGGAAAAATGTAGAAATCAACGCTTTCGAACAATTAAAGAAAGAAGCAGAGAGAGATTATTTAGAAAATAAAATTGATGCTATGGATGACGATTATTTAATATCGACTATTTGAAGTCAGGAGACTAAAGCGCAGAGCCTTGTTCTCTCTCAGAAAATGGACAAAAGCAAGGAAAACTAGAAGGGCCCTTCGAAAAAAAAGCTACTCTAAGTTTATTGTCAAATTTTGAATTGTTGTACAGAGATATAACGTTGTAAATGTTTAAATGTATAAATATAATCTGCAAAGGGCGCAGAACTTGTAACATAAGATATCTTCATACAGGGCTGCCCTGTTTGTCTTCATGTGGAGAATGAAAAAAATTCAACACGTTACGGCTGACATCTCTATGTTTTGATTGTGCGATCTTCTTAAGTCGCTATTATTAGGTTAAATAGAAGGAGTGAAAAATGAATATAGTAAAGTTGTTCTGATACAATGAGCATTTACTGTCCTCTTGTAATATACCCAACAATAATACGCACCAGTTTACTGGATATTACTTTAGGGGTTTTTGCCTGTGGTTGTTAGCTTTTTTTTTCTTCTTATTTCAACTGGCACTAAGTGAGCTGTTTAGCGTTAGTGTCATGCCTTATTCAGCTGTTGCAGCTTTACTTTAATGGAAAATCCTTTGTTCATATCCATTGACAGTCTTCCTTACTTACTCGTTGTCTTTTCGAACTCTTTTCGACTGCACGATTAGCATTTGAAAAAAAGAAGTTGAAGAAAAAGAAACTCGCTAATAGATCCTTTTTGTAAAAACAGCCTGAAAGTGACAGCGTGTCATAACGATTAGCACTTTGCCCTAGGGTTTATGAAAGGCGCGTTAATTGCTTACTATTTCTATTCTTCTTCGCTACAAATTGCGTCCAAACACTGCTTTCAAAGGATGAGAATACCGTTTTGCGTTACACAGAGGTGAGGGTTCTTATCGATGAAAGATGTCAAACTCAGGTCAAATACACTCTTAATGAGTGCCACCCAACAATAGTTAATTACCATAATGTCTCTGTGTAATACACCTCAACTGTAAACATAGTGGCCATCTCGAAAACGTTCAGTTGTGGGGGTCCAAACTAGACCCAGTGGTCATAATTATACCTATTGATGGCGAAAGGTTTCACGCATTGTAGGACAAGTTTAGTGAAGTTTCTTTTAGCATAGTGTGCGTTTAGTCTGTCTCTTCAGATCGAAAGAAAGCTATTTTCTCGATTATATACTTGGAAACGTAGTTTACGGATAAGAGCACTTAGCAGATGTTTTAAATCTCGCTTCAAAGGTTCATTTAAGAGATAACAACCAAGTGAAGGTTTCATTGACAAAGATATGCTATCAACGCTGGGAAAAATATCGGGTTAGATTTGGTCAGGTGCGGTTGAGCTCAATAACTCCAAAGAATGCTGACACATTCTCGACATAGGCTTTATTAAAAAAGCACTTTAAGTAAGCTTATCGGCGATCTGTCAGTCACGTGCAAATATTTGCCAAACAGCCCCTGATAACGCAAGAAGCTATCTGTAGGTTATCGATGTTCAAATCCTACAAATTCCCTCTCTTCTTCTGCTAAATAAATCGTACAAATAAACCCAGTGAACTATGACAAACTTTGCGCGATGTTTTCCTTTTTTAATCGTCTCAAGTCAAGGGTATGAAAATGTCTCGCCTCGTGCTTTGATGGTCTGTCGTATCATTAGATTATCGCTTTCTGAAAGCTTTTATGACACCTAAAAGCGCCGGAAAAGAGGAATTTACAGTAATACATCCGAAACCAAATAAAACCGGTATGTACGTAAAGCGCTTTAAACATTAGAAATAAACAATTTTATTTTCGGAAATTCGCACCATTTCAGACTTGGGCAGTGGCTATAATGAATTTTAAAAATCGCCTTCAGCCTTCATTGTAGAGGTGTTTTATAGCCATCCTCACGCAACATTTGCATACTGAGTTCTATTTCACCGTCGTACAACAGATGCGACGCATTTGGCTGAAATCTCAGTAATTACCGTCCGTCACATATCGTATTCAATTCAGAGCAAGACCAGGTCTTATATCGATGTTATCGCGAAGTAAGATACCGAAAGCAAACAAGAAAAGCTGTTACTTAATAGGTGGAATTTTCAGTTAGCTTTTGCTTCAGATATTGTTTCGGTTCTTTATATTGTCGACTTTTTTCATTGCAATTAGCAGTTCTTTAATGCGGCGTTAGTATTCAAGCTTGCGTGCGTTCTGTAAATGGTGAATTGAAAAGAAAAAAATAAGAAATGATAAAAGCATCAGAAATCAGCCAGAGAAAATTTTTGAAATTGTCTTGCGTTGATGAAGGTCTGGCCTATCTGTATCCTATCTTGAGAAATCAATCTGTCTTTTTTAAGTGAGCAACACTAATAATCTGAACAGAAATGGAAGTGATTTAAAGATTTATTTGTCCGGCGGAAATTAAAGGCCCTTTTAATATCCAATAGGGTTGTGAAATGTAAAACAAATTTAAGTGCGTATGTCGGGTCACAACTGACACAGTTTGACACGCACTTAAAATCGGTAATAGTTAAATATGTTCTATGGTAAGGTTGATTGTAATTACTTAAAGTAATAAATGGAATATTAACAAAGGTTCAATTCCTTCCATGAGGAATTAGTAAACACTGTTTGAAAAACTGATAGTAATCTCTCTTTTCAGTTGTTTGAATCCCATTTGAACCTGCGAACTTGTTGAAAGAAATAAAATGGATTTGCTATTTTAAAACATAAAACCATTAATTTGTTCTACATAGATTTGTAACTGCGTCACATGAACATCGCTCCTGCATGCGACGATCGTACGGGCCCTCAAACCCCGTCCTGAAAAGCAGAAACCACGACGGGGACGAAATTTTTTTTCTTGATAAATAGTAAATACCTGCACTTACTGTGGAATGTAGATGAGAACTATTAAAGACTTCACGATATTTCTAGAACTTGTAGAATTGATAATAATACTTTTACAACGCTTAACTGGCGTTGAGGAAACTGATGAAGTAGTGACTACCTGAAACCTTTGTTGCGCGGTGAGGAACCTTATCATGCTTCTATAGCACAATGCGTTAACAGCTTAGTCTCTAAGACGCAAATAGATAATTTCAGATTATTGTGGTTGTGTAATCCACTTTTTCTTTGAAGTACTTTGCAACTAATGTTAGACGTGCAGATGCTCTGAAATATACAGTCCCTAGTTATAAAGTCGCTATTATATTAGTATAGCTCTCGAAAAGCATAGATCCACGAACATTATCAAGGCAAATTCATCACCAGAAGTCTTTGCACCTGCAGAAGAAGCAAAATAACAGCCAGAATTAAAAATTACGCGAAAATTTTCAATTTAAATTCGAATGCTCCGATCCCCCCTCCCAATAAAAAAAAAAGAAACACATGCACGTGCCCTGCTAAGAACAACAGGTACAGAGTAAAACATTTTCGGTTTGCTTGAACACGTTTTAAATTAGTATTTGTAGCACATGGCCAGCAAATAACAAATAATAGCCTTGGCTGTACACTAGAGGGATCATTCTTTGTAATGACCTACCTGGGAACAGATTCTGATAGCAAATCTTTTTGTCTAACTTATTTCTGGTGATACAGTACAAGAAAGTATTTGCGATACCTATTTTTCGAGTGCGTGTTTTGGTGTTTAACGTTCCTGGAATGGCGAGAAGGATACCAGCTGGCATTACTCATCAGTACCAGTTAAGTAAACAGCGTATGAAAGAGTCTTGGAATGATGAATTGGGACGCTTATTGTTTTAAAATAAAGTTCCTTAGAAAAGGACAAAAAACTTCAGTAATATCTGAAATAGAATGAAACTGTGCCTTAGTTGAGGTGAGGTACGGGGCAATTTGATAAAAGAAGGATGGTTTTGCGGTTTAAGTTCATTGTTCAAACAGTGTCCTCCTCTTTAATTTCCCATTCGAGACAGGAAACAAAGTGATACCCTTAATTACATCTTCAGGAGATGGTGTAAATTACGTTCCAATCTTCATTTGCGACTCGCAGACAGTGTTCTGTTCGTGGATATGAAGGGATGTGTTGTTGGAGGTAAAATGATTCTGCTCGACATTTGTTCAAAATTATAATTGCAACTCCGAGATAAAAACTAATGACGACGACTGAATCTTTCGACTGAGAAGTACAAACACACCTAGTGATTCTGAAAGCCGTATTGTTAGCAATCTGAAAATAAAATTATGGCTACATCTTGCTTGAATGTTTATCAGCGTTATTACCCTATACCGGCTTTTTCAGTTTAGGAGGTTCTCACTTTCAATGTTGCCTCAATTCCAAGTTATTTCCCTCACTCGAAGTTTCCGCTTAGTATCAAAGGCACACAGACTAGGACAATCTCGATTTAGGATCGGTTAGTATGTGCTTATTGAGAGAGGATTGAGATTGAATAGTTAGAGTTCTCCTTTTCCTGAACATCAGCTGATTTCATCAGTTTGGACTACTTTCTTAATAGCTAAGCGTCTCTCGGATTGTAAATGCGCCAATACCATTTTCTACAACACTAACACAATATTAATCCACTGGAGATACAAGGATATTCGAGGAATAATCTAGTTGTTTTCATTGTCTTAACTGTACGAAAGGAATAACGGAGTAATTTAGTGTTTTCAAGTGGGTTGAAAACGTAAATTGGCCACCGTAAAGAGTTAAGGCTGACGTTTCGAGCGTCCGCCCTTTGTCAGAGCGTCTGTTATACTCTTCCACTGATGCAGCACCACAGTTTCTTTAGAAACTTACCCCCTTTGTACGAAAGGAATGTCTAGGGCCTCGAAATTCCTTGAACAGCACGCTATTGTCTTGGTTGGGCGAGATCGTATTAGTGAAAATAAAGTAGTTAACCGAGGGATCCAGACCTTGATAATCCTGGCTGACAGTAAAGGTATCCGTGATAATCTTTTGATGGCTGTACGATCAGTTCATACCAAGTAACTGCATGAGCACCAATGAGCTCGGTAGTATCGCTGAGTTCACTGAGTAGAGAGCGGTTCTTGTCTAGGACTAAACCATGGATACAAGGCCCTCGACAGATTTCAGTTTAATCCTTGAGCTTCTTAGTGGATATATGTTCCTTAGAGATCTCGGTCTGGGAATTTCAAAACCAGCAGATGAAAGTGGAAATGTTGTGAGCTGTAATAGATCTTTCACTTCTGCCTTTTGTTTGTCTCATGTGGTCACCGGCAATCAGTGGAAGACATTATATGCCGTCACATCGTTTCCTTTAATTTTTGTTCGGGAACTCCTTTTATATTCTTCCTATAAACCTGGAAGATTTTCTTCCTATAAAAACTACCCATTCATGCATTAAGGACAGTGTATAACTGGCACGATGAATTAATGCATAGCAATTCTGTTTGCTAATGGAATGAAAGACCCATAAACCAGGGCAAACTAAACGTCGAACCTTTTAATTTTTCCCATTGAAAGGAAAACAAACTGACGGCTCCATAAAACGATGTACTTTTTTGGAATCAATTAGCGCTGGTGGCCCACTTTAGAACGTAAACTTAAAACTGTCTCAGCATCGGTTTTCTGTCCTCATAGACCTAGCCCAAAGGTGAATGATAAATAAAACTGGGTTTTCAAGTGTGATGATGCCACTCCGGAAAAAGGGAGTTACTAAAATCAAATATTGAAACTGCGAATTTTTTGCCGACAGTCTTCGTTGTGTTCTCTACTATTTTTCATTTGAGTAATACCATTAATTCCATCACTTGCAATCGATGATAAGAATCAGTCAAAACTTAATATCTTTGCTTTGCCCTATCTCATCGTAATAATCACAGAGTAGCAGATAAAACGCCCAACATGTACTAGGCTTGAATAGGAATTAGATCAGAATAGTTAAATAAAAAAAGCGTTAAATGAAGGAGATATTTTGCCTACCGCGTTATGTTGCTGTTTCAGTAAGGGTTTAAGATCTTCATGAAGACGCCTATTGAGAAACAAAGCATGAACTGTGTAATAAAAACTCGGGCTCGATTTCATTTGGCAGCGAAACTCGATGGTATTTGCCACTACTTGACCTTCTAAAGGATGGTAGGTTATGCCTGAAGCATGCAGTTCTGAATGTTGCTTTGATATACCACTTGCCTACCACTCTGAAAGAAAGAATCTCTGATGAAGGGTACTTTATTCTTGTCAACCTTGTTAAAGAGTACCGTTTTTGTGGGAAAACATATGGTCGTGTTCTGTGAGCTTTCCTTTGCCGTCACGTCTGTGTGTTGACAAAATATGTTTGACATTTCTCAAGACATCGTCTTTAGTGTTTCATTCATTTGTGGACACTTAAAATGACACTTTGTTATCATATACGAGGTATGGGATCTGTATCGGTCGATAAGTATAGTTATCTGTCTCAAACATAGTGCAGTTACACAACTGTCAGTGGTCGATTGTTAAGGATGTCATTTATTGATCAGTCAAGGATACGTTTCAATCTGAAAAAAACTAACATGCAATCGGTATCAATTTCGAAAAAGGCTGTCGCTAAATGGAGACCTTCATGTATAAGCAACAATATTTCTCTTACTTGAAATATCGTGCACAAGTACGATCCAAAGAAACGTTTGAAACACCGTCTCAAAGAAGAGGCAATAAGTCAAACTAAGATTGCTTTGATTTTCACTTATGATTAGAAGTCGTAATGCCTGAAGCATACCAATTAAGCGTTTTTCGAAATCATAGCTATTTAGACAAGTGCTTTCGATTTCGATCATTTCAAAGTTCTATAGCTATACATTTGTGGAAAGCAATTACGAGTGCGAAATTTTTATTTGATTTTTTACCGCCTTTATAGAACCAAAACGTCGCCAGAGTAAGGATAATCAAACGAATCAAGGAAAATTGGAGATTTTGTCGCAGTAAATATGGTAAACGTTCGACTCAATATATTGGGTCGCTGTTGCATCGGAGTGCAAAATTGTTTTATTTGAATTTACTTTAGAGAGCGAATGGACAGGGCACACATCTTTATTTTTTGTTTTGGAAAGTGACATCTTTTCACGGTATATTTGCCTTGAATAATAGCGCGAACCTTGGTGTTTGAAGTAAATAGTGAAGAGGTTTTTTTTTTCTAATTTCATTCACAGTTTGCGACGAACAAAAGATTTCCAGTATGACTTGAATGTATTTGGGCTTTAAATTTACGGAGAGGTACTTACTATTGAATCTAGTTTAAATGGGAAAATAGGAAAAAAACTTTTGTCTCTAGAAGTCGTCCTTGCTGTAACCAGCTGTGTTTCCACTCAAAGCTAGAACATTCGGTCCTATTAAGTGTTGAATTGTAAATTTTCTGCAGGGAAAAATTAATGGACAAGAAACGTTAGCGGCGTCAGAGTTCTCTTAGTAGATAAGATAAATTACTAGATTACGAAAAAAAACCGTTTGAAAAACCGGGGGCAATTTCTTACACGCTGATAAAAAGAGATTATTAACTTTGTTCTATTTCATTTAGAGCCTTGAAAATGTTAAATGCACTCATATTGATTATTTTAATGGAAATCCAGAATTATCGACGAGAAAATTAATAGTGGATGTTAATTAAAAGAGTAAAACTGAGACTTAAGGTAACTTGGTTAGTGAAGTTTTTTCCTCTTATTTGATTGCTTTAAAACTTACTTATTGGTGCCATAGGATTTGGTCAAATAAATAAAAGCTAAAACTTCACCGCTTGCGTGTTTGTTTGAAAGCAATAGAAAACCCTATATTTGGGCTATCTAGTCTTAATTGTTGTCTGATTGAGATTTCCATTGTAATGCTTAGCATCTGCACCTGTTCCTTTGAAACCCCACGAAAAAAAGTTATTTGTTTGCCGACGGGGGTTTTCAGGGAAGGTTTGATGTGCTTTTGTAAAGCGGAAATTGACCTCTCTCGTTTCGTGTGTATTTTGATCGTTCGAATTTGAATAAAAATTTTCACCGTTTATTGTTGAGGTGAATTCAAATGGTACTTATGGTCAAAGTTTGCTGGAGAGCTTTCCCAGAATCAGGTGATAGACCATGAAACGCGGCGAAAACTTGTTAAACATCTGCTTTAAAAAGCAAATTTGCTGTAGCATGCCTTGTATTCATCATCTTTCTATTGGATGGCATACACATACGTTAAATTTATGCTTTACGAATTTGATTTTTGGGTTGAAATTTCTCGGCGGGAGTGAATGTTGATTGTCCTTCAATAGGACAAATAGCTTGGATCGAGAATGAAGTGCTATGGTATTTATCTCGGTGACATTTTTCTCGAGCAACCTGAGAGTCGAGTAAACTTATAACTGTAACCGACCCCAAGTTGCCTGTACTTGCGTTATTTCGATACGTCTCATCACTTCGATTCTTTTTCAAGGTGTACTCGTGATCAGTCCACGCAATAGATCTCTTTTGTTCTCTTGTCTTGTGTATCCTATGACGTGTCGTACCTAAGTATATGAAATTTTTCTTAAGCTTTGAGGATTGATAGGAATATAAGATATCGAGCTTATATACTTAAACGACTGATGTTGGAGATTAGGTGGCGTTTCACTAGAACCTTTTAATGCCACCATCGGAAAAGACGTATGACTTCTTTCCCGTGTAGTTTAGTGCCTAGTGAGCGTCAAATGTGACGATAAATTAAGTTTCTTGAAGAGTTGTAATATTTCTTAACTTAAAAGAATGTTTTCTTATTTCTCTTCATGAAGTTTATTACTTGAGGAGTTTGCATTGAGTCATTGACTTGATGTGAAAGTTTGGTTATTGTGATGTACAGGTTCTTTCATAAAAAGAACAAATAATCTCTACCATGATGGTACTCAGCTACACTTTAACATTTTTTTTCTTTTTCATTGTATCACTCTTTTGCAGCGTTTATTGTCCTGGGCTCGGTTGTTCAAAGGTTGGATAACGCTATCCACTGGATAAATCGCTATCCGGTGGATAGCGCAGTACGTTTTCTGAACAGTTATCCACTGCATAGTGATTTATCCGTTGGATAGCGTTATCCACTCTTTGAACACCTCGGCCCTGGTTGTAAGTCGCTTGAGTGTGATTGTGTTAAGGGTATCGATCTGGCGTTAAATCCAGATGCAGGAGGAATTCATTGAACTGATCTGAGTGACGCTTTCAATGTACGAATTAAATAGTCTATGAGAGACTCTTGAAAGAGTTCGATCATTCAAATGAATAGTTTTAGTAGCTCTATGCCTCCTGTTGGAACGTAGAAATCAGTTCCACCGTTTCCTTAAGTGACTTGTGAGATTTTAGGCTTTTAATGGTATGCCTGATTGGGAAATTTTGACTGTTAGTCGGCAATGCGATTTATATGTTCATAGACGGTCAGCTGGCAGGTTGAATCTCTATGGTAAAGTGCTAACTTCGTCTGTATACTAATTCAGTGGAATCTTGATGTTTCAAACCTTCTTGAGAAGAGCCGGAATTGGACTTTTGATGGAGTTATCAGATTTTCGGGTTATCACATGCAGTTGAATTACTTATGAGGCGTGGAAATAAACACAAAGGTGTATGTGTAGGATATCGAGAATATTGCTTTATGGTACGCTTTTGTACTTACGAAGGCATACGAAATGAAAATTAGTTCACCAACGCATCAGTTTTCGTCAGTTTTTGAACCACCGAAAAGAAAATGAAAGAAACTGCAGTCGATGAACGTTTGGGCATTCATTGCACTTTTAATTAAAGCCTGTGGTTCTAATTTTAAAATTCCGAAAGAAAAAAAAATCCTTGCGTAAGTTATTTTATGGGAAAACTTATGGAAGTGATTGTCCGACAGATTTCTTAAGAACACAACGAATTAGGCTATTGTGCGTAAATGAACTTCACCGGTTACACATACAGTTGAGTTATGGTCCCTTGGTAACTCTATCTCGTAGGCAGAGGAGAGCAGGTTGAATTATCGACTTAGCAGTGGACACATTATTAATTCTGGTGACGGTTCTTTAAATTATTAAAGTACGAGGTTTAAAGAAAAGTGTTTTTACAGGTGTTTTTCGTTAAAGTGTTGATAGGAGCGGAGACTATGCTTATATTTTTGAACCAGCAGGTAATCATAAACAATATTCTTAAAGATGAATAGCTCTTGTCTTTTCAAACCTGAGACAGCTGAGCTACTCTTTGCCTGATACAATCCTAATCTCCGTGTCTGCCGCTCCTTTACCTTTTTTTATATTTTACAAGTGTTTTCTTTTCTTTTAAAATCACCTTTGAAAACAAGGTAGCCTTGAAACATTATGTAAGCGGCGGTGAAATTGCTTGTATGAAGAGGCGCTCTCCGCTCTCTATCAATAGCTAACAGTTAATCTACTGAGCGTTCTTTAATATTACTGCAACAAAACGTTTGCGTTTTCCCACTGATTTGCAAAGTAGTTTAACTGGCATACGTCGCCTGGCCAAAGTAAAATGCAGTGAGATAATAAAGAAACGTACGTACCTATAAGTTTATTGTTAACGCAACCCAATTATTGTATTTCCAGAAGCCAAAGAAAGTTCTTCAAAACCAGTGGGAAAATAACATTTTAAGATTATTTAATTGGCGTAGATTCCCTTGTTTTCTCCTGGTGGCTTCATTTAACATTTTTTGTTTCCTCGAACCAACATGTTTTTATAACGCTTGTGTTTACTAGTAATCATGCAAGTGTATTTTGGTAATGAACGTTTTGATTTAGGATGCAGGATGAATTTTTGTGGTTTCTTCCAACGTAAAACTAATAAATTATTGCGCCACGCGCTAAGTAGATGTTTTTATTCGCAATTTTGAGGTGAGATGTTGCAAATATGTTGACAGGCTTACTATAAACTGCGGTGTTTTTTATAGCAACAGTAAAGCTGGTGTCGTAAACAACTTTCAAAGCTTTGCACTTGGGTGTAAACATCTCTTTTAAGCAAATTTTGCGAAAAAAATATAACAACCAGTTGAAATTAACATCTGAATTAAGAGTCACTTAACTCAAAACGCTAATTACTTGCTTAATTTAGACCTCGAA